TCTAGGCACACAGGTTCAACCTTATGTATTTTGTAGAAGACACCTTGAGACTTATGCATTTTCCGGGGTCGTCACCCCTTCTGGAACACCTTTGCCGCAAAATTCAGAGGGGTATACGCAGTATGTATAAATAATTACCAAAATTAGAATCCGGTTTTCTTTTGCTCATCGTTTTGACGTGTTCATCGGTAATACGTAATGTATCAGTAGAAGTTGCAACTCTCAGGACCAAAATTCAATTATGATATGAGATCGTGTCTTCAATGTTCTTGATCAACTTGTTATAGTTTGATTATAAAACTCAATAAGTTTCTGAATTTCTGCTCCAAACTCTCTCTGCTATAATAATATTAATAAAACTAAAAAACCAAAGCGCGTCTAAAGACTAAAGTAAAAGGAATATTATTCAAATATTTCTTCCGGGTTCGGTGGATTATTATGATAACGAAAATTTATAAAAAACGCAAAAAAAAAAAGCAACGTAAAAAAAAAAGTTTTGTCGGGTTGAAATCAAAAATTGAAGTATGTGTGGAATATTTATATGAATTTCGAACGCGTTATTGATCAGATCAGATCAAAACACAATTCACGATCACGTAATCCGACCAATAAAAATTCGCGACGCGTCAAATTAGATTCCCAAAATGATCAGTATGAGAACTTCACGATACGGTAATAAATAACTTTTCCTACGAACCCCTCGTTAGTAACATAATTATTTCCCTGACAAACGACAACAATGTTGCACTAAGGAAGTACACAAAACGAAAAGAATGCCACCATTTATTTTTTTAAACGAATCAAAGCACGAGACTTCTGAGAATATAAATTTTTTATATTCTTTGCGAAGTTTAGAAATCCATTTGGAAATCTTTTGTAAAGAAATAGGACTCATCTTTAAATGTGCGGAATGACATTATTAATAATCATTTGTGGATAATACAACTGATGGAATTGATCATTTAAAGAATTTTAAATAGATGACTAATTATAATGAATGATTTGGAAATGTGAAATTTTAAATTTTACTAGTTAAAAAAAATCGTTATAACGAAATTATGAAACTACGAAAAACAATGTATTAATTTTCTGCTTTGTAAATTTTTATTAATTTATTTCTTTATTTAGACACTAAGTTGATTAATATTGAAGACATTTTTTAAGAATAAAATTTGCGATTTATTTTAAAGCATATATAAAATTTTACCAAAAATCTTTTTACTCTTTTTTCTCTATAAAGATAACCACTACCACATAATTTATATCTCAGAAAGCGTTATAAATAAATATAGATTTCTTAATTATAATGATTAATGATACCATATTTGAAATACTTCATAATCTTCTATAGTGAACGAATTGATGTCAATAATCTTGTTTTCATAGGAACTATGAAAGTATTCACCATTAGGGAAAATTTGCAAATCTCCAAATCCAATTTCATTCTCGTAATCTCGAATCGCACATTCAGGAATTTTAACTCTACTTAATATATTAGCATTCATTTTATCATTGTCAAAAGAAAATATAAAGGAATCACTAGTTATCAAGTGATCATCACGACATGAATTCCATGAAAGTGGATTATAACCTCCAATAACTTTTTCCGATTCTTTAATTTTTATTACAATTAATACGGCGTATTCGGAGCCACAAAGCTCATAAAAGGTTTCCAAGTCCATCCCATCACGACTACCACAATGTACAAGCTTCAGATCATAAGAAACGTGTAGTTTACATTCAATTTTAACATCCTCATTAAATATCCAATTCAACAAAGTATTTGCTTGTCCATAACTAATAATATTAGAATCATCAAATTTCTTTGGAATTCTTTTAGTCAACGAATTGGTTGGTGGTGATATTTTAACAATTGAATTAAGGTTATAATCAACCAATTTATCTAATAAATGATCCGAGAAGATCCCTTTTAATGGCCAAATATCATCCCAAAATTCATCGTAAGACATTGTAAAAAATCTAACATGTTGTAACACATTACGTAATCGATTCTTTAATACTTCAAGATCTTGTTGCGTTAGTTCCGAAATTTCCGATTTGATTTCAGGTGTTTGCTTCATTCCCCACTTTATTACATAATTCCAAATATCTATTTCTTCAAGCTCAAGATCATCTTTCTTTATAATGGTAATTAATAAAGGTTTACTTATCGTGACAAAATCTTTAGATTCAAACAATAATTCATGTCGTATATAAAATAATTCTTCACAATATTCCCGGATAATTTGAAACTTTTTATCTTCGAAAAATTTATAACCTCCCTGCATAAGTTTACATTTGAAAGGTAATTTATAAAACTTTACAAAATTTTGTTGTATCCAACTAGTATGATTATAAATAATATTCTCTTGAATGTGCGTAACTAATTCAGCAAGTTCCAATTCATCACAGGCAAATAGTAGTTCAATGATATATTCCTGATTGCTTTCATCAAGTGAATAACTTCCAGTATAAAAGTATCTACGAAAAAAAAAAAAATTTTTTTTTTTAAATTTTATTCGATGGTAAAATAAAGAATTCGACATGCTGTAAATATATAAATCACTTACTCTAATATGATTTTAAATGCTTGTGGTTTGATGTTTTGTTGTTCAATGATTGTGAAATTTTTATCTTTCTTATACCTCCATTTGTTTGATAATACACCATTAAAGTAATTTGATCTAATTCTTAAAATAATTGAATGGGCCTTAAATGTTTCGACGTTGTTATTATTCCCTACGATTATTTTCACATCGTGATTATTCGAATTGTTGTAAAGATTTGAAATATCTTGTAATAATAATTCGGCATTATCATTCGAATTATTGTAAAGTTGTGAAATATCTGGTAATGTATCTTCTATTGTCATTTTATTTTTTTATTTTTTCGTTTATTTCGATAAATTTTGGAAAGAAGAATGGGAATTTGTTTAAAAATGAAATCTTCCATTGACCGCATCCTTTTTATGTGACCTTTTTGGTATTGTTTTACCCAAAATCATTTCCAAAAATATGTCAAGATATCACGTGATTTTCATTATCAACCACGCCACCTTTCATTCCCCAGTTAGGCAAATTTAAATAATTTGAAAAGATTTTATTTTACCAACAAATTTATTAGAGTTAACATTTCGTTCAACTTTTTTAATGTGTTTTCATACTTACATCGTCTATTAATAAACACAAGTAGTTTGAAAATTTTGAATAACCTCGAGAATCAAAAATAAACTGGTCGATTCACATTTGCGGAATTTGATGATTTAACTAACATACCTTTAGAAATGCTGCGGAACTGGAAATGTTAGTTCGACAATATAATCATAAATAATAAAAATAACAATAAATTTTTATTTAAAAAAAAACAGAGTATTTCACTTTATCAAATATTTTTTTTTCATTTTAAACTCTCAACATCCTTACCAACTTTAACACTTCCATTAAAAGTATCATAGCGATAAGATTTTAAACTATCGATTAGCTTTATTCACTTCAGTCCAACGAATACAACCAATCACAACATTATTTTTTTTCTCTAGCTGGATTACTTGAACACATATGATCATTCATGATAAAGATGCCATTTTTAGTGGAATATTTTACAATTAAAAGCTTTATGCTTGCTATATTCATATAGTTACCAGTATTCTTTACTATAAGAATCAATGTTGAAATTTACCAACCGGAAAACTAGAAATTCAAAATCTAGAAATTCCTGTATCCATAAATGATTTATTTATACATTTCGCTAGGAAAGAATATACAAATCAACGACAGTGAATCTAGTTTGATTCCTCGCATCCCTTAAGAGTTGAATTTATTGCTTGCAAATCTATAGAATAAAAAAACCCTAAATGGATTGATTAACCTTTGCCGTTACACGAGTTGTCATATAAAGGGGTATAAAAAGTTTATAAATTTTCAATGTTACCTGCAAGTCAATCATCATTTTCGTCTAAAGTCATGGATGAATTTCGTATAACTGAAGAAATTTATTCTCAAATTAAAGATTTTCAACACCATTATTTAACTAAAGAACAACAATTATTAATTGATAAGTTTATCCCGTCAGAATTACATTACACACTTAGGACTAATGGATTATGCGAAGAATGTAATCAAATTAAGTCTTCTTTCTCATGGTGTAAATATTGTAATTCCAATCGTTTCAAAGAAGCTTTCAAAAATTGGACTAGTGGAAATAAGCACATTGATGAGTTTATACAAGAGTCGCAAATACATGCCAGAGATTATTGGCAAGTATTAGAATGGGTAGATTACGATCAGTTTATTAAAGTCAAGTTTATTGCAAAAGGAGGTTTTGGCACTATTTATACAGCAATTTGGAAGGGAGGATATATCAGCTATTGGAATAAGAAAGGAAAGGATTGGTACAGAGATAAACTAAATGAACGAGTAGCTTTAAAGTCCTTAAATCGTCCTGAAATGATATTAGAGTTTGCAAAAGAAGTACGTATTTCCCCCCTTTTATTGAATTTAATCTTTTTGATGATTAAATTTTTTTTTTTTTTTTTTTAGGTTTTATTTTATTCAAAATTAAATGATCATCCTAGTTTTATCAGATGTTATGGAGTAACCCAGAATCCTAGTACAAAAGATTATGTAATGATAATGGATTATGCTAGAAAGGGTAGCCTTCGAAACTTTTTAAATGAGAATTATTATGATATGAAATGGGAACATAAGATACTTTATCTGAATCGAATAATTGATGGCTTGGTTGAGATTCATGAACAAGGAATAGTTCATCAGGATTTTCATTCAGGAAATATATTAGTCAAAGATGAACATAATTTTTGTATTGGTGATTTAGGATTATGTAAAAAACTTGAAGAACAATCAACTAAAAAAGATAAAATAAATGTATTTGGGGTGTTACCTTATATCGCCCCCGAAGTATTAAATGGACAAAAATATACTAGAGCATCTGATATTTATTCTTATGGTATTATTTGTTATGAGCTTCTTACTTGATTACCACCCTATCACGACATACCACATGATGAATTTTTAATGATTAAAATTTGTTATGGACTTCGTCCAACCTTCAAGGACAATCAAGTACCTCAATTGATCTTGGATGTAATTGAACAATGTTGGAATGGAGATCCTTTGAAACGTCCAAGTACGAGTGAAGTAGAAAAAATATTTCAATCTTTTTATGTTAATTATGAACCTAATTCAGAAATTTATAAGCAATGTAAAGAAATTGAAGCAAAAACAACAACTCGAATGAATTCAGCTAAAAAGTCCCTATCATATCAAACGCACCCACAAGCTATTTATACTAGCAGACTTTTGAGTTGTAAAAATCTTCCAAAATTTAATAATAATGTGAAAGCGGAAATTTCAGGTAAAAATATAATTCCGTCGTTGGCAATCACGTGAAACCTTGAATTTTGTGTCGCGTACTTTCTCTAGGCTCTTTCTGATATAATATAATGTTTGCATTATAATTAAGCGAATAATTTTTTTATTATTATTTGTAGATTCTTTGCGAATTGACTTTATAAAATCCAAAGCATCTGAAAATGCTAATAATAGTTTTGAAACAGGAATTTCAGGTAATTAAATTTAAAAAATTTTTTAGTTTTTGGAATTCTTTAATTGTAATTAACATCATTTATAGAATCTATGCAGTTCGATATTATCAAATCCGAGGAATTAGATAATCTTGATATTTATGAAGCAGGAATTTCAGGTAATAATTAATTAAAGGCACTTTAATTATAAACCAATAATTAAAAATTCTCCTTTTAATTTATAGAATCCATGCAAATTTAGTAATTTTGTCAGGTAATTAAATTTAAATTATCATTATTAAAATTTCTTCAATTTATAATTAATAATTAATTATATTTAATCTATTATGTAATGTAATTTCCAATTCAAACATTAGAAATTACTAATAATAATAACATTTAAGACTTATTGAGTAGATCATCTTTTTATAAAAAACTTATTTAAATATTATAAAACATACTATATTTTGATAGCCCAATATATTTCCTATAAGTTTTCTTATTGTTTTTATTTAATAAAGATTTTAATAAACTTGATATATTATTTGATTGAATTGATATTAATTAATTAAATTTAAAAATTTAATTAATTTTATATATATATAAAAAAATATAATTGAAAGATTTTTTATTTTTATATATTATATTTCCTAAATTTAAAAATAAATATTTATAGATGAATTTACAATTTATAATTATTTTAATAATAATCTAATTAATTAAAAAATTTTAATTTAGTTAATTATTTAGAATTAAATTTTAATTATATTATAGTTATCTATATTTACATTATAATAATAATTTAAAAATATATATTTAAAAAGAAAGTTTTGATACTAAAATTAGAGAAAATATGATTTTGATGTGATATACTTTTGATGCTCAATTTGTATAATTGGTATACAGATCTTCATTAATCTATGTATATATGATCAATTTCAATAATGTATCTTATGAAAATTGAATTTGAATTGTATATAGATATTACTATTGCTATTATCATAAGCTTTTATATTATCATTAGAATAAATTCGTAATTTAAAACTTTTGTATTACTGAAATACTTTAAATTTAATTATTATGTAATATACAAAAATTTTGTTTCATTGATTTTTGTTAATAATTTCATTTCATTTGATTTTTCTTTTGTATTATATTTCTTAATTTATTTGTTAATCAATTATGTTTTTATATAATAATTGTATTTATTTTGGAATTTTTTATCATAAAAAATTTTTTATTTTCTTTTATTTTTATTTTCTATAATAATACAATATACTAATTTATATTTATTAGTTAAAGAATTTTATATAATATTAGTTATATTTATGTATTTTATTATTTTATTTATATTGTATTATATTTTTATTATTGTATTGTTATTTTTTTTTATTTATATTAATCAAATATTTCTTATTATTTTCATTAAAATAAAACTTTTCGTTAAAATACAAATTTATAAACTTTTATTTTATTATATTTTTATATAATTTTTTGTTTTTAATTTATTGCATTTTTTTGTTAAATGTGATTATTGGGATTTAACTGATAGGTAGAGAATGAAGATCAGTTCTAATTTTGATCCTATTGAATTTTATTTAAGTGTTGCTACTTTTCTAGCTAATGAAGAATATTAAATTATAGAAATTTTATTCATTTTTGGATTTTATTAATTACAAAAGTTTTTTATTATATATTAAATTTTACAATTTATAAATTTATTCAAATTTGAAAATAGTTTTTATTTGTATTATCTTTTTTTAATTTTATAATTTAGTTGATCATTTTTTAATTTAATAATTTATTTTATTTTTTTTCTTATTTTGTGATACTAATTGTATTTTCATATTATTTTTTCTATTTGAAGATATTGGGAATATTTTACATAATATTTATTATATGTATACTTTTTGTTATGTTATTATTATACATGAAGTCGAAATGAAAACCCAAAAGTCGAAATGTTTTGACTTTGGAGGTCAAAGTCGAAATGAAAAGTCG